TGCCCCCGTTCAGAAGACGGACGATCCTTTAAAACGAGCTTCGGATACTGCGGCAATAACAAAACACGCAAATAATTGTACTCATCCAAAATCTCAGAAATAACCAGTAGCGGAGTGCAGCCTTAAGGCCAATTTATACTTCTGCGTCGAGTGTACGCCGTAGTGTGCGGCGTAGGCTACGCACGTAGGCAACGCCGTCATGAGCATTTATACTTCTGCGTTTAGGTCTGCGTTGCTCTGGAGTACAGCGCCGAAACGCTAGTTGGCGGCGGAGGGTTTTAATGTTCCACTGTGTTTAGATTCCTCGCGGCAAGAAGAAGAAGATTCCTCGGGGCTGTTTTGAGTTTAGGTTACTACAAGCAATGGCGACTGAAAGAGAGCAGATCATGTTGGAGTTGGAGCTTATCGAGGTGGAAAAAGTAAATTTTTAGTTTTTTTTAACAGTTTCGCTGTACTTAGAATTTAAAAATGGCGGGCGGTGCAGAAGAACACGCCGGAAATGCATAGGAGGAAACGCGATGCTACCAAGCCGACCAATCACAGATCTTGCGGTCCGCGTCGTCGTGACGTGTAGTTACATTTTTGAGGAGGTGCGCGTCAGGTTACGGCGAAGGGTACGGCGTATGGTACGCGTCTGTGCGTATGCTACGCCGTACCTACTGCGCGCACCCGACGCAGAAGTATAAATTGGCCTTTACGGAGAGACTACACCTGGATGCTTCTGAATGGTTAGTGGATACATTTATGTAGTTGTTACATTGATTCATCTCATCGACTTGCATGCACCGTCATGTTTAACTTTTAACTTTTCCCTGAGGTCTTTATAAGACAGCTGTGACATTTTTGGTCAAATAGTGTTCTGTGCTCGTCTGTGCAGCCAAAGACAGAACAGTTTGCATGCTTTGCTTGAACTTTTGCCATTACGTTAGAACTGGTTACAAGGTTGTTGTTTGCGAAAACCAAATGGTGGCGCCGTGGATGGAAACATGCAGATTAAGTAAGGGGCGGTAATATTATAATCTTAATAATATTATAAGATCCCCTTCCTACGTCAGAAGAGGAGAGAAATCTGATCGGCTTATTTTTTGACATGCTTGCTGAGAAAGGCTTACCAAAACAAAGTTACTGGGTTGTCACTTTTCACGTTTTCTGGGTTGGTAGATGCACCGGGGACCTGGTTTTAGCACTTTAAACATGGAAAAAGTCAGATTTTCATGATATGTCCCCTTTAAAGAGAAAAGAAACCTAAGACTCTGTTATGCTTGGTTGTTTGTACTGTCTGCTGCCTGTGGTTAGATGGTTTCGAGCTAAATACCATAACCTGGATCTGAGCTGTGGAAAGGCATTTGAAAACTCAAGCTTTCTGATGTGATCCAGACTGAAATGATTGACATTTAATGAGTTAAGATGAAACACTATACCATGGAGATGTGGATAGACTAGCAGCCAAGACAGACTGTTTCAACATATCTACATCTCTTTTGGCAGGTCAAGAAAACAGGTCCTAGGAGAAGTAGATTGTTTTTGCTAAATTTCATTTTTAGTCTCACATATGTCTTACATAATGGTGCCCTGTAACATCATATGTACAGTGGGTACTCCTTTATTCTGTCTGAAGAAACCAGAATATGTTTTGAATTATGTCTTGAGATGCTTCACAGAAACATCAATGACTGTGGTTTTCTGAGTATGTTTTCCCATCAAATTTACATTTGACTTTCTGACGGGGCCATTGACCAATAGGTGGCAGAAGATGTCAGTATGATGATAGATGGGTATGGGACATGTACACAGATACAAATAGATGACCAGGCCTATTTGCTATCTTCACCCACTAAACTCCACAGAAAACTCCTCAGAATGCACATACTGTATTTCCAGATCATTTTGTTTATCAAGAATTTGTCTAATTTGACCATGATTTCACATAGCAGTAATTTAAGTGTAGTGTACAGCTTTGTTTAACATTTCTCCATGTTTAAATCCATTTTGAAGAATTCCACTGATTTGCCCTAAAATCAGTGCTGAAAAAAGAAAGTCATCAGATGCTGCCTGAGATTATATTTTGCAGACACTTCTACTTACCTTTACACTATGCAGTCAGCTTGTGTGTACTTTGTTGCTGTTATTCCTAGTGTGTTTTGGAAAACAGTAAATGTGGTGAATCATCTGGATGAAGTCTGAAATGAGGTTCTTACAGTATGTACTTGACGTACACTATTATTCAAAAGTTTGGGATCAGTACGATTTTTAAAATGTTTTTAAAATAAGTCTTTGCTTACCTAGGCTTACCCAGGTTGCATTTATTTGATCAAAAATACAGTAAAACTTGTAATATATTCAAATAGAAAACCGTTATATTTTAAAATGTAATTTATTCCTGTGAGCCATTTCTTATTATTATCAATGTTGACAACAATAGAACATATTCACAGCAGTACCATCTTTGATTTTTAATGGGAATAAAAGTGAGGCTGTGAGTATGGGCTGAAATATGTGAGGGATAGACATCTCTTCAGTGGGTTGTACTTTTGTTATTTAATGTGTTTTTGAATTGTTCTGCTAACGAAACACTGCAAAAATATCTTTCTGAGAGATTTCAGTTGACAAAAACTCCAGAAAATATGAGCTGTGGAAAATGATGAGTAATTAGGAGTTTTATACAGCTTTTTACAGCGGATGTCATTGAAAACACGGTAAGTCTATCCGTCACAGCCTCGCTTTCATACCTGCCATGGCGCTGCTCTGAATAAGGTCTATTGTGATGCTTGAAATTTCTGTGGAAATATATTATGTTTTTAAGGATTCTTTGATAAATAGAAAGCTCAAAAGAAAAGCATTTGCTTGAAATAGAAATCTTTTGTAACATTATAAATATATTTACTGTCCTTTTTGATCAATTTTATGCATCCCTGCTGAATAAAATAAAATAATTTTTTTTTAAAAAGCTTTATGCCCTCAAACCTATGAGGTTTTGTAGTGTAAATGAAGACTAGAGATTAGTGGATGATTCACCTTGTGAGCATGTAGGGCTCATTCACAGCAAACTTGCACAGGGCGTAACCTACAGTAAGAGGATCATTATTGCACAATGAGCCCTGATAGGGTTTTGCCATTACGATTGTCTGTCTGTACATTATCCCGCTTATTACATGACTATTTGCCAAATAAATAAATGAATTGACATTTGAGTTGAAATTACTTTGTGATGTGAAAAAATGAGGCAGTTGAGTGCTGCAATGTACAGCTGTGGGAATCGGTTGTCCGACAACGATCAAATATACAGTTTAGCAGTCATTCTACATAAGCATTTGACTGCAGAATGTCAAAATCAGAATGAAGTGTTCCAGAGAGTTGTGTAATAAAAACAGCTAAGGTGGCATAGTAAAGATATACACATCAATTTATAGCACTAAAAAAAGAACCATATGTGGACTCTAAACCAGCAAAACATTTGAGCTGGCAACCAAGAGAACCCCATACATTGTATAGTTCCTAAAAAGTCCTGTGCATTTACTCTACAGAGAAACTTGCTGCAGAACCGTGTCTTTCTGATGATAGACTGACTGTTTATTTCTAACTCTATTCAGTCTCTTTGAAATAGATGTAGGTAAATTAACATTTCTGTGATAATACAAACAGGTTTGTACATGTTTGTCATACATGTGATGACACCGATTTGTCTTGACAATTAATTATATGTAATCATTAAATCCCTTATTATATAATGGAAATACATTTTCTTATTTCATTATCTACATCTGTACTACACCTGTACTATTCATTTGTACTTATTTTAATTGTAGTTTGTGTTTAATTGTAGTTTAATTTAATTAGTGTTTAATTGTATAATTTTGTGAATTCTGTGTTTGTATTGTTAATGTGGCATGTGTTTTTAAGCATTAATGTGAATGTATCTGTCACCAGTGTCAAAGACAAGCTTCCGCTCTGTGACAAACAGAATGGACAATAAAGTTCAACTCAAACTCTAAATCGGTTGTTGAATTACTAGAATCTTGATCACAGACGCATGAGATGGCAGAACCAAATCATTGAGAAATTTGAACTGAACTGTTAGAAAACACTGAGCAAATGACCATACTGTCATTTCACATCTCCCCAGGAGACTTGTGTGCTGTTATTTTACACTATTGCATGCAAAATGCTTCTTTTCTGATGAGTGTGATTTATTTCTTGCAGTTTCTGCTAAACAATGTTGTTTTGAGACTTCAAGAACACTTTTTTTCTACAAACTTGCGTCAAGATCTCACTAGATTTGTTTACATGACTTGACTTCTGGTCTGATGATTATTGTGACAGAATAAATAAAGAGGATGAGGAATATTTTATTACATGATCTGTTCAGTGAGACCGCCATGTAGATCCCAGTGAATATTTCAGATTTGTGCAAGACCAAATCTATGTGAATTGTGAACCTACTAGCATCAGAAATGAAAGACTTGTAATGGCTTTAAACCAGGATTGTGTGCCATTCTGAATTAAAGTTAGAATGCATTTTTAAATTCCAATTAAATTCCTCGTTTTGAATTTGAATTCAGGTAGCGAACAGGATACAGAATTGCAATTTGAATGCAAGGAAGTGAAATAAAAATGAACAACTTTTTAAGCTAGAAAATCAAAGTTTTTCAATACAAACTATTACATGTTTGCTTTGCAAATAATGGGGAAAAAGGCTTAAAAACCTTGAATAATGGATGTTGGATGGATACCACCTATAATTATTTTTGTTAAATTCACACATTTCTTCATATTTGTTAAGTTAACTTTTGTGGACCACAGTGGAAAAACAGTTTTTCACAGAATGCATTATCTGTATTTATTTTCTTTTCATTTACAACTCTGTATATTCTTCTTCCTGTCATTTTGAATTCAAATTTTAGTTCATCTTGCTGTAGGGCATAGCTAATTCAATTCAAAATTACACATCGTATATGAACAGAGGGTCACATGGTACATCATAACTATTTCCCATTTTTTAGGAGCTGAGACCATCAAGATATACTGGAGCCGATATTATCAAGGTTCCCAAGGTGTAGTGTTTGTCCTCAATAGTACTGCATCAGATGAAGAGATGGAGGCTTCCCGGTCTGAGCTCCACTTGGCCATGCAGCATCCTCAGCTGTGCACCCTACCTTTCCTCATTCTCGCCAACCACCAGGATTCACCAGCTGCCCACTCTGTGTCGGAGGTATGGTAACTTTCCACACCAAATATAGCTCTATGTTAAGTGCCGACCATCTTCTCTGTGATTCGCTGCTGTTGAGGGTTGCTGGCCTCTGTTTGTACACACTCTCTGAAGTGTTTGGACTGAGCAATGGGAAGCGTGGTTTTTGGAAAGCGTCCTGTTGCTATGTAATAAGAGCTGATGTTTATGGTCAGTTTTGGAAGATGACTGACCAGGGCTGGGATAGGATGTTGTGTGGAGCTCGCCCTCCCTACTGCATCACAGAACCAGAGCTGATGGTGTAAACATGCTGTGACGTGGGCTGGCTGACTAATAGTCTTTTTCCACACGCTGAGAAAACCCGGTAGAGTTTGTTCTCCTCAGGAGGAAGTATGCTGCAGGAGGCACTTGAAGTTTTCCAAGTATGTATTAAATCTAGACATTGACATAAGTATGACAGTTTGGTGCTGGAGTTATGCATCCGAGACAGGAAATGATCAATCTATGTAAATACCATGAGTACACATTTTTACAGGTTGCCAGAATTTAAACTTTGACGTCATATTTTAGTTCAACATGCTAGGCTGAATATTTGGAACAAGAAGTAATATTTGTAGTTAATCACTGATAGATTATTAATTTAATTAATAAATAAGATGAAAATAAATAATAGATTTTTTTTTAATTTGTCAGCAGTGGTTTAAACAAATTGCTGTTTAAAACCCACTAGTATCACACTAATTTCATAGATTAATTTGATTAAATTAAAATAAATTGTGGATGGTACCTGTTTTTTTTATTCTCCTGAAAACTGCCCATTCATAAAATCCTAAATCATATTGATAATTTCCCTAAAATCTCTTTAAACCAGTCATAATGTAAACATTTGGGATGTCTCATTCAACTGTGCTGAGGTATAAAAATTAAAGAAAAAAAAAAATATATATTTTTTTAAGTTTTCACTATTAAATGTGAAGGAAAGACATGGGCATCGTCAGCCCAAATGATTCCCATCATTTTTGTATACATCACATTTTGTTAGCTTTTTTGTTTATTCTTGATTATGCAGATAGTTCCGTTAATCTTGCATTTGGCACCTTTTAGCTGCATGGCACAGAAGCTGTTGTCTGTGATGCAATTCAAGAAACCAAACAAACGCCTGCTGCTAACTACAGATTATATCACTGGCTGATAAATGTGACTCATAATTGGAAAATTAAGGCCTGGGGAGCACATTTATTTCGCTGTTCTTATATGCATATACAGCATGTTGCCTCAAAGCTCAGGGGGCCGCAAGGGAATGCTATTCTGTCTGCTGTAAATTTTAAATGAAATTACATTTAAACAAATAGAATTCACAAAATTTGTCGGAGCTGATAGCCTCGTGGGCAGCGCTCCGACATATAGCACGGTTGTGCTTTTTAAAATTAAAATGTTTTTAAAAAATTCACCAAAATTGACATTATTACAGTTTCATTCTTGCTAAAGACTACAGAAATCATGAAATTAATTAAAATTATTTTATTACATTGACAGCCATAGTTTTGTGTTTCTTTTCAGGCTTATACACTTACATAACAGCTCCCTTAATGGTGGGTGGAATTAAGAAGGTCATATTTTCCAGATAACATTTTACACCTATTTATAATATTTTTATTTGTCACACTGCAAATGGGTCTTTATTAATGGAAAATAAAACATAGATACGTAAAAAATAGACATTTTAGACCTATTTATCACCTCAATATTTTGCAATATAGGTTTGTTTTTTAAGAAAATAAAAATCTACTAATCTATTGATTGAAAAAAGACACCAATGTCAGGCTTGACACAAGTTCCGCATATAAAGACTACTTTGGGGGTTGGCTGCAGTGCAGATTCAGGTATAGTAGTTCTCAATAGCAATGCAGCTCTATCGACAATTTGTCAAATGTCGCATTGCAGCTTTGCTTACAGTACACGCTGCTTATGCATGCGCTGTGAAACTGGCCTAAGTAAAGGGAAGAGCATTTACTCACTGTGGTTGCATGTGAAAGTGACACCTGCCTTCTTCCAGTGCGGTTGTTCGGTGTGGGATGTTTTGGCTAGCCACCTCCACTTTCTACTTGTGTTTCACTGCTAGACTCTCTCAACTGAAGAGGCATGTATTGTGGTCGTAGTGAGAACTCAATTGGCAGTGAGAGAAGGAGCCTGCAACGTATTTCAGACAAGCCTGTTGCCAACTCTTGACATAAGGAAATATGCTGGAGATGTTTTTGAAAGCTTAGGCCCTGACGATGGAAATGAGTATCACATTATACTCGAGTGTGCATTGTTGTGCAACAGGCATAAAGTAATTACAAACATTGTCTGCTGGAATGCTTAGCATGTCAGAGAGGATTTTATTGACAACTACTAATGAAAAATAACAAAGACTTAGACGCTGGTACCCTTTGATTTGTATAGTGTATAAGCCTGTAGGGTTGTGTGCCACGGTGCCACCTGGTCAGCAGATATCCTGATATTGGCTAACAGCACGCGTGACGTACTGTGTGAGTGCATGCTGAGGAAACTGTATTTGGTGTTGACTTCACTCAGTTGGTGGTCAACCGAGAGAGACCACACAGACCCCTCTTTTGTTTAAGCTCATAAATGTGGTCAGTTGCATCTGATCAGCGCAAACCACATTACTGGGGAGTTTGCCATGTGTTGGTCTATTTTTAGAAGTTGAAGTCACAGCGCTTGACCTCTTTTAGCTGTTTGCAAACACTTCCAGAGCCACGTGAGTTTGGCTTAGAGAGGCAGTGAGCTCTGCCACAGGCCTTTTATTTGATTGCGGTGTCATCTCTATTCCTGTTGTAGGGATACTGCGTGTCCTGTCACAGTGAATCCCACAAGTCGATGCTCACTTATCTCTGACATACTTGGCAATCGCATTGAATGGGATATGGCCTGACTTACTTTACATCTGTGTGTGGAAGAGATTGTCATTTAACTGTCCTAGGTATCTGAGGGAGGTACAGTGTTTGAATTGTCACTTGTCTAGCGGTTTTATTTTTTTGTCTTTAATAAATGTATTAAATGGTATCATAGAACTCAAACATGCAAAGACTGAAAGCATTAATTTCAACTTTCATGCTGTCTGTGCATTGTGTGTGTGTTTGTGTTTGTGTTTGTGTTTGTGTGTGAGAGAGAGAGAGAGAGAGAGAGAGAGAGAGAGAGAGAGAGAGAGAGAGAGAGAGAGAGAGAGAGAGAGAGAGAGAGAGAGAGAGAGAGAGAGAGAGAGAGAGAGAGAGAGAGAGAGAGAGAGAGAGAGAGAGAGAGAGAGAGAGAGAGAGAGAGAGAGAGAGAGAGAGAGAGAGAGAGAGAGAGAGAGAGAGAGAGAGAGAGAGAGAGATTGAGATTGAGATTGAGATTGAGATTGAGATTGAGATTGAGATTGAGATTGAGATTGAGATTGAGATTGAGATTGATTGTGGTTGACCCATCAAAGCAGAGAGGCGGAATAGCAGAGCAGGATACCAGAGACGGGTTTGATCCCTGAGAGGGGAACTGGCATTTGTAGTTGCATTTCTCGCTTCCTTCTTCCTCACCTCTTTTTGCCCCACACACTCCTTTCATTTAAAAGATTGCAAATTTAAAATGTTTACATGTTTTATTTTGGATCTTGTTCCACATCTATTTAAAGCAGAAGCGCTTCACATTCTCTTGGAGGTTTTGAAATGCTTGCACCTGAACATTTCAACATTCGCCATGATAAAAAGCTTCAGATAGTTGAATCTTAGTTCAAACAAACCTTTCAGGCATTACGTGCCATCATAAATAATCCAGATGTCTTGTTGAGGTGCTTTCGTGCAGAACTTGCATACTTAATATTAAATGAAACATACTAAATGTCTCTCAGTGCGTGTACAAGCAAATTGTTTGCTTAACTCTTCATGTGAGAAAAGGGTTAGATAAAGATGGACAAGCTAAATAAGAATATTCATCTTTGTAGATTAATTAAACTTTCTTAATTGTTGTGCACCATGCCATCTGATTTCATTATAATAATCAAATTCTTCTCAGACGTATTTGGGGTTGTAAGATATCCACTGTTTTTGTATAGCAGGTGTTGTTGTGAATTTGTGGTTAAAAGAACATGATCCAAACTCTGATGAGGTTTACTGCAAAGGCTCAGTAACCTGCCCAGAGAGCTGCAGAGACTAAACACCCTTCAAACTCTGAGTCATGATGTATAATCAACAGGTCATCACTGCCCACTAAGCAGCTACACAACTGACTCTTATTCTTCTCTCAGAAGTGCCACTGCCATCTGTCATAACTGACCAGATTTGAGCTTTCATCACAAAGTCGAAGGCTAAAATTGTGACGTTAGCATCTTAAGCCATTGAGAAACTTTTCTGGACTATGGTGAGTTGATTCACGTCACACTAAATGCTGTTTACAGACAGACTGGTTTAGATGTTTTGTACATTGAAATATTTGTTTATGCTGATATGTAACAGGTATTATTTGTTTCTGGTAAATAGTTTTAAAGATAAGTTGTGTTTAGGTTTTCCCAAGCATAGCAGCACCCAGTGTGTACACTCTGCATTCTGTGTTGTTGCAAGCTAGTTATTAGCGCTGCCTGGTATCGTTTTATGGCATAATGTTGGCGACTTCTCATTTTTACATTGCCGCAGTGAAGTTTAAAAGACTCGTTGGACCTGTAAAGTCCTCACTAGGGCCCTGTGTGTGACTTTTTTTCAGGAGGGAAATATTCATGGGACGGAATTCCTTGTTGACACCAACCTCCTGCTGTTGGGGCCCAAGGAGGAAGTGAGCAGAGAGAGGGGCATCATATGTTGATACAACACCTCAACAAAGCACGCTGTGTGGATGTTTTCCCCCAATGCTTTCTTGTTTTATGAAGGTTCCCTGCATGAATGCGCTAATGTTGGGCTGAGGAACTGATCTTAGGATAGAGAAGACATCATATTATCAACTGTGAGGAAATCAACCGTAGTTCCACACAGAGTCTGTGCTGATGTTCCAGAGGTTAC